TGCAAACCCACACACATGAACATACATGCACATGAGCCCATATGTGTGCACAAACAAATGCAAACATACCCACATGTGTACACATACATACCTGTACAGGGATGTACATCACACGTGGACATACACATACATGTATACGAAAAAAGCCCATCAATATACTCAGGGTTATAAGAAAAGATAATTTAACCTAGAAACTACATATTAAACTCCAAAACCTTAGCTTGGTGTCTCTGTGTATGAATATTTCCCTCATGTTTTGGGAAGCACTCTGCCCACAAATATGACCAAAGCCCCTGTCTACCACCTCCAGCCAAAGTAACATCTGCAATTCCCAATATAAAGTAAGCTCTTGTTAGAATGTATGATACAGTCTGGGTGCAGTGGCTTATGTCTATAATCCCAGCACTTTGGGAGGCTGAGACAGATGGATTGCTTGAGCCCATGAGTTTGACACCAGTCTGGGCAACATGGCAAAATCCCATCTTTATACAAAATACAAAAATTAGCTGGGCATGGTGTTGTGCACTTGCAGTTTCAGCTACTTGAGAGGCTGAGGTGGAAGATTGCCTAATCCTGGGAGGCACAGGTTACAGTGAGCTGAAATCAAGGCACTGCACTCCAGTCTGGGCAACAGCGTGAGAATGTCTCAAAAAAAAAAAAAGAAGAAAAAAGAATGGATGATATATATTGATATGGTTTGGCTGTGTCCCCACACAAATCTCATATTAAATTGTAGTTCCTGTATTCCCCGTGTGTTGTAGGAGGGACCACGTGGACAGAGTTGAATCATGGGGGTGGTTTTTTCCATCCTGTTCTTGTGATAGTGAGTTAGTTCATATGAGATCAGATAGTTTTATAAGGGGCTTTTCCCCCTTTTGCACTGCATGCTTGCCTCCATGTAAGGCATACCTTCACCTTCCGCCGTGATTCTGAGGCCTCCACAGCCATGTGGAACTGTGAGTCTCCTGAACCTCTTTTCCTTTATAAATTACCCAATCTGAGATATGTCATGATTAGCAATGTGAGAACAGACATGCATATATGGAACTTCCTGTTCACAGACCTAAAGCAGCTGATGTGATCTGCATCTGAAACGTGTGTATTGGCAGGGCGTCTCTCTGATGAAGACACCATCTCTGCATAAGCTAGACAGAGCGTGTCACCCTTCATAAAGAAGGTTCTGGCCTTCCATCCAAAATCAGTGGGGAAATAGGATCTTGGTTACACACAATTTTACTTTTGATTTCTCCTTTCTCTAATCTTTTAATAATGCCCTTAGAATATAAGTTCCATGCTTTAAAGATCAATTGTTCTGTAATTACTGCTTGCACACAATTTTGGGTTTCCACCCAGAGCACTGAATATTTAAGGGCATAAACAATCCCACACTCCTCTTTTGTCATTTCAACATGCCTGGTGCTATGTGCTGTAGCCCAGCAGAGACTCAGCGAGTGCTGGTCAGTGGGCCGAGTGGTTCGTTCTCACTCCTTCCCAGCCTCAACTATTCAAACCACAGCATATCCTCAGAGATGTTGGCCCCTGAACTCAGCTGTGGTTGGGCAAAGCATGAAACTCAGTTGTCAATCTGGTATTCAAAGCCCTGAGTCCAGTTCCATTAAATTATTCCAAACTTCTGAACTGAGTGTGGCTTAGGTGATAGACTGTGCTGGCTTTCCTAAGATTGCTTTAGTTTCAGGACCTATAATCCCAGATCCCTGGGAATCCCTCAGTCTTGAGTAGACCAGAATGATTGGTCACACTAGTAGGGTCCCTAAAATCAGGAATAGGAGTGCAAGTGTTTCCCCGCTGAACTGAAAACAGGTCTAACACCTGTGATGCATTACTAATCAGAAGAAGTGTATTATAAAACACAGAAGCAAAGACAGAGCACAAAGGCCCGTGTTTCAAAATGAGAGTGATAAGAATATGGACGACAAAATGTCCCTGCCTTCAAGGGCCATGCTTTTTCCCAGGAAGCAGCTACATACATAGATAAGAAATAGGAGTCAGAGAATTGTAACAAATTCAAGGTGCGGAGAGATCTGTTCCATGCAGCTGTGAGCTACTGTGGACATCGCCACAGTGAAGGCCCCCAATTGGACTCTCCCCACAGCAATTCAATCCACTTTTCTTCCGCCTGTCCTTGATGATAGGGATTTCTCAAATCCAGAAGCAGCTGAGTAGGACTGGAGAGCTGGCTCGAAAAAGGAGAGTAAGGTATCAGCTTTATAATCCATTGTAACTTGTACCCCAAGTCAGTAAACACAGGCTCAGGCCAGACCAGAAGTATTTTATTTCCCTCTGCAATGACTGGAAAAAGCTGCTCTAATTTCCTTTCCTCTTGTCCTATCCATTCCTGCCCTGCGTGCCCTGCCACCCACCTACCTAGTGAATTACCCAAGCATCCCAGCTCTTACTTTACAAACCGCACCTGCACCTGCTCCCCAGTTCCAATGCTATTTCTTTCATATCCGAAGGAGAGGCATTAGCATAACCTCCACGTCAGCCTCTCCTTCCTCCAACCTGCTTGTTACTAACCAGGGAGGCTGATAACAGCAGCTCTGACCATGAGAACCCCCTTCCATGCCCTCCCTTCTCTGCACAATAGAGTCTGAACGCCTTTGCAGAGCACTGGATATCCTCTGTAATATTCTCCCAATGGACCTTTCTTGGTTCCCTTGCCTCCGTCTGCTGCACGTATGAAAACCTCCTCAGATGGTCTATTTACTGTTCCTAGCCCACTATCTTTGTCTTCCTACAGTCTTATCTGCTTCACACCATTCCTCTTTCCTGGAGTGTACTCCATCTATTGAAGTCAAACCTGTGCTTCTGGACTAAGGCCAAGGTGATCTTCCACACAACATCATTCTGGGTCATCTCACCTAGAAACAGCCTCTCCTTCTTACGAATATTAAGCATACTCTATCTGTAAAGCACTTATCAAAACTATTCAGAACAAAATTAAATAAATGTCTTATCCTCACAGATACAGGTTTTATCATTTTGGGAGCAAAGATCCATAGGCTATACTGCTTTAAAGTTTTCATATTTTCTCTTATCACATCGCCTTGAATATAATAGGTACCCAATAATGCATTCAATGAATTATCTACAAATAAGGTGAGGGAGCAATTTTCCTAATTCCAAATACTTATATAATGTTTATCATTTATAGGAGGCATGCCCTATGCAAGGCTTATAGTCTATGGAATTATTTGGGAAAAAAAGTAAGAAAATAAATGAGAAAGATAAGCCACATATTCAAGTCTTATATATGATTGATTAGAGCAGGCAGCAGCTGATTTTAAGGGAATTAGCTAAAACTAGAAATTTATTAGGTGGAATGATTTACTTATTTATTTTTTCCACTGGAAAGCAGGCCATGTGACTCTTATATCAAGGAAAATGTAGAGAACTTTAAAATATTTGCAACAAGACCTTAGCTCTGACACTGATTACTGGCAATAATAACTGTGGAAGTGTAAAGAAAAAAATCCACAGATTCACATCAAATCTCTCTTAGACATGGATGAACGACATACATAATCATTCCTAAGTGACAATGAGCTTTAAGTTATGTTGATGTTTTAAGACTCAATTTATTATTATTAAGGACATCCTGCAAAAATAAAATCTTGGTAGACTAAATGAGGAACCAGTGGCCACACAACCCTCCTTGAGCCTCAATTCCCTCTCCTTCTGCATGGGAAAGCATCTAGAATTCTAATCTGTGCTTGTTCCACTTGTTTCTTTCAGCTTCTAGCCAATACAGTGCTTCCAATCTCACCAAGCTTCAGATAGGTCCCTACAAGGCTGCTGCAGGGAGTTCATTAGTCTTAGCTCGCATCCTTTTTACTTCATTACCTTGTCAACATTGACATTTATAACATTGGCCCAGATTCCCCAGGCAAAGGGCAAACAAATCAATAGCAGTGCCATTGGCAAGGAAGAGGGATATCAGGCAAGGAAAATCAATAGGCAGCATGGTTGTATGATCTCATTAAAAATAGCTGCTGTTTTCAAATACCACTAGGTGCCAGACACTTCACGGGCATTATCTTGTATCTTCAAAACAAATCAGTAAAGCCAGTATTACTACTTCTACTTTACAGATGAGGAAACCAAGTCTCAGGGAGGTGATGTTAGTGGTGACAGAGCTAGGAAGAGATCTTTCTATGGTTTGAGCTCAGCACTGTCTGATTCCCAACCCATTCATTCCCCGTCTCACTGCCACACATCCTCATGAGGAAAATCACACTGTAAGAGGAAGCTGGAGATACTCGTCCAAGCCTTGAGGGCAGCTAGCTACATGACATTGGGCCCAGTCATGTGTGGTATGACAACCTTTCAGGTAACCACAGCTCTAATATTTATACATTTACATCTATGAGTGTTGTGCGTGTGCCTGTGTGTGTTTTCCTTCAACAAACATTGTGGAACACGTAATGTGTGTCTGCCAATACAGTAGCAGGAAAGATAAAACCATAAATGAGACTGGGGTCCTGTCTTTGGAACCTCATGGCTACCGCATGCTGAGATGGGGAGAGGGACAGAGGGGATATCCAGTCTTTGAGGATCAGACTAGATTTCATGATTTTAAGCTTGACTGACTCACAAAGTATCATATGGTTATAACCCATTAGGCAGCTCCACTCCTGAGATAGTAAATTTAAATAATTTCAGGTGGGTTTTGGCCTAGTCAACTCTTTTCAGACGATTTTAACAAAAGTAAATATCGTTGGCCAGGTGCGGTGGCTCATGCCTGTAATCCCAGCACTTTGGGAGGCCGAGGTGGGTGGATCACTGGAGGTCAGGAGTTTGACATTGCCTAGTCAATATGGTAAAACTCCATCTTTATTAAAAACACAAAAATTAGCCAGGCATGGTGGCATGAGCCTGTAGTCTCAGCTACTTGGGAGGTTGCGACAGGAGAATCACTTGAACTCAGGAGGCAGAGGTTGCAGTGAGCTGAGCTTGTACCTTGGCAACAGAGCAAGACTCCATCTCCAAAAAAAAAAAAAAAAAAGTAAATATTGTCCATGTCACTGCCTCCACTGTTTTCCAATCATCAATTAAAGTCAAGTTGACACCTTGCCTTATCCATTCATTCCCCTAGAGTGGGAGAGAAGAGTAAAATTTAAGCTTTGTTAGGTAAAGAATTGAATACATTTAGCTGAAAGACAATTAGAATCCAAATGGGAAAATGCTTTGTTGGATTAAGCAGCTTCTTAAGTTATTATTATTACTGGTGTTACAAATCTTACTGAGCTTGTATTAAATGTCAGGCATCATGCCAGTCACGTCATCTGCATTACCAAGAGACTTCCCTTTTATCATTGTTATAATAACATATACATGTATTCTAATTGAGAAAACTGAAGTTTAGAGAATTTAGTAATTTGTCCAGGTCACAGTAGTAAATAGTGAAGTCATGCTTTGAACCCAGAGCTGATTCCAAAGCCTAACTTATAAGAAAAATGCCATTCTTTCTCCATAATTAAAGCCTCCCTCATTCTACTTCTGCTTTTAAGCCCACCAACTCTGAAAAATACAACCTTTTGACACAGAGCTCCTCAGCGGAAAAAGGAGCAATGCATTGTGTGAAATACTTCATGCTACTCTTTAAAAACCAAAATATGGCAGGATTTGTTAGAAGTCCGGAATAAAGACACTTACTGGTTACGTGATATTGGGAAAGTCACTGAACCTCTGTGACTCAATTTTTCTCATCTATAAAAATAGAAATAATAATGGCATTTATCTCCCTGGGTAATGACCACGGGAAAAATGAATTAATATAAGGAAAGAGTTTAGACTTAGCATACAGAAAGATATTATCCAATAATAATACTAACAGGAACTACTACTTTTTATGATTCTATTAGGATTAGTATGTTATAAACATTATACCATTTTTAGTATTATTTGGTTACAGTGAAGAAAACCTAGCATTTAGCATAGCCTACATGGGATACTTCAAAACCGTGAAAAACTTTAATACTACCAACAGATCCCACTCAAATAACTTTCCTTTGAAAGAATTTTTAAGGTACGCAGGATCTTTAGAACAAGCACGGTTTTTGTTGTGGTGGGTTTTTTGCTTGTTTGTTTTCTTTCACACGTTGTGTGGCCATAGTAATGCTCAATAGTTTTTTGCTTGAGAAGAACTAATTTGAAGTTTCTATCAATAAGAGTCACAGCATGTGACTTCTGGGCCACCACACAAAACATCCTTTGCTATCACGGTCAGGCAAAGATATGGAATGTGTGGTGTTTCTTTGAAGGCCACCCCTTTTAGGAGGAGATTACTAACAGCTCCTCCCAGCCAAAGACAGTCTGCATTTGAAAACAACTTATCATTGACATATATATATTTTTTGCTTCGTTTATCTTTTTACACACTAGTATAGACAGAACAGACAAGTGATGATACAAAATGAGTAACTCAAGGGCATTCTGTTTAAAGAGTGGTTTCATTCTTAGGAAAAATGAACAACTTTTACAGAACAGAGCAGAGCATGGAGCAGGCTGGCAGAGTTATCACGAAGGGATTCATTTAACACACAGAAATAAAATTGCATCTTAAATCAGTAGATAACACACATTCCTGCGGCAGGAGGAGAAACTAAATCATCTATTAAATTTTTCCATGGGGAAAAAATGTAGCTTGTTATTGTAAAAGTCAAAAATAACAAAAATCCCATATAACCCAGTTGCAATTCAATGCTGGTTATCTACAAAGTAGAAAATAGAAGACGTCCATGTTTGGGAAGTTGGGATGATTATTGAAACCTGATATTTCAAGATACTCTAAAACACACCATTTATTTCATGATGCAGAAGGTCAGATTAGATTAATGAATCTAAAATAATTTATTACCCAAAGAGACAGTATCATTAAAAGTTATCTGATCTGGTTATTTGATACTAGTACCAAAACAGAGACATAGACTAATGGAACAGAACAGAGGCCTCGGAGGCAACACAACATATCTACAACCATCCGATCTTTGACAAACCTGGCAAAAACAAGAAACGGGAGAGGATTCCCTGTTTAATAAATGGTGTTGGGAAAACTGGCTAGCAGTGTGCAGGAAGCAGAAACTGGACCCCTTCCTGACACCTTACACTAAAATTAACTCCAGGTGGATTAAAAGACTTAAACATAAGACCTAACACCATAAAAACCCTAGAAGAAAATCTAGGCAAAACCATTCAGGACATAGGTGTAGGCAAGGACTTCATGACTAAAACACCAAAAGCAATGGCAACAAAAGCCAAAATTGACAAATGGGACCCAATCAAACTCCACAGCTTCTGCACAGCAAAAGAAACAATCATTAGAGTGATCAGCAACCAACAGAATAGGAAAAAATTTTTGCAGCCTACCCATCTGACAAAGGGCTGGTATCCAGAATTTACAAAGAACTAAAACAGATTTACAAGAAAAAAACAAGGCCATTCAAAAGTGGGAAAAGGATATGAATAGACACTTTACAAAAGAAGACATGCATGAGGCCAACAAACATATGAAAAAATGCTCATCATCACTGGTCGTTAGAGAAATGCAAATCAAAACTACATTGAGATAACATCTCGTGACAGTTAGAACGGCAGTCATTAAAATATCTTGAGACAACAGATGCTGGAGAGGATGTGGAGAAATAGGAACACTTTTACACTGTTGGTGGGAGTGTAAATTAGTTCAACCATTTTGGAAGACAGTGTGGCGATTCCTCAAGGACCTAGAAATAGAAATTCCATTTGACCCAACAATCCCATTACTGGGTATATATCCAAAGGATTATAAATCGTTCTACTATAAGGACACATGCACACAACTGTTCATTGCACTGTTTACAATAGCAAAGACCTGGAACCAACCCAAATGCCCATCGATGATAGACTGGACAGGGAAAATATGGCACGTATACACCATGGAATATTATGCAGCTATCAAAAACAATGAGTTTCTGTCCTTTATAGGGACATGGATGAACCTGGAAACCATCATTCTCAGCAAACTGACACAAGAACAGGAAATCAAACACCACATGTTCTCCGTCATAGGTGGGTGTTGAACAATGAGAACACATAGACACAGGGAGTGGTGCATCACACACTGGGGTCAGTTGGGGGGAAATAGGGGAGGGACGGTGGGGGGTGGGGAGTTGGAGAGAGATAGCATGGGGAGAAATGCCAGATGTAGGTGATGGGGAGGAAGGCAGCAAATCACGCTGCCATGTGTGTACCTATGCAAGAATCTTGCATGTTCTTCACATATACCCCAAAACCTAAAATGCAATAAAAAATACTTAAAAAAAAAAGGTTATCTGGACACAACATAAGACAATTACACACAATGTTAGAATTTAAGTCTGGAAGAAGCTGTGGTTTGTAGATTTGGTATCATTGAAGAACAATGTAAGACCATAAACAAAATGAAAGAGAATTTGAGAAGCCTATGCACTTAAAATGAAATAATTTTTTAGAGGAGTCACTTTGGAAGCTATAAACTTGTTCTAAAGAAGATAACATGCATTTGTGTATTATAAGAGCATACCTCAACTATTACTTTTCCTACTGCAACATATTTATAGTGCTTATACATACTGGCACAATCCTTTCCCTAAATCGGCCATAATTCCTAGCCCCTGGCTATAACTACACCTTCTTCCCTCCTCTTAAAAGAGGGAGAGCAAAATGCAAAGGAGAAAAAGAGGTGGCATTACAAGATCATTGTTTATTTTTCTCGTTCTCTGGTAAGAACTGCTCAACTTGCTTCTGAGAAGTAGCTTTACCTGTTCTGAACCTATGCGATTAACATTGAACTAACCCCTTCATGCTCCTCACAGCCATAGCTGGGTGAATAATTTGGCCATGGCCATGTAGTAGATCCTAATCACCTGAAGACTGCCATGGCCTGGGATTGATCCTTGAAAACTCAATCCCAGGACTTAAGGAAAGTTTTCTGGAACTTTTAAAAATGGAAGGTTTTCTTTCCACGTGGGATGTTGAACTGCTACTTTTTAACTCTGGAGTGGATGATGTCACCTTCGTTACCACTGAAATCTTGACTGCAAATGAAGTCCCTTCAAGAGGTAAGCAGACAAATATGGAGTAAGAAATTAGACAGACTGGAAAAGTCTGAATCATAATATTTGAGATTCTGAAGCCAGCTGTGCCTGAACAGATCTTACACCTTGAAACTTCTATTTTCACCAACTATTATTTTCTTCTGTTGTCATTGTTTAAGCTGGTATGAGTTTGATGTATCCTTGAACAGTGCTAATCGATAATGAGTCACACTGGATTCTGCAGGACTCACCGTGTTTCAGAATTGCTCTTCTGGAGCACAGTTGAGCACCTTTTGGGAAGTCACACTTACAGTCACCTCGACAGACACATTAACAAAAAAGAAAAAAGAAAAAAAAAAAAAAAGCCCTAACAGTTCTCTTTTATGTTTCTACAACCTTGAAAATAAAAAAAAAGCAATCATTTGAGGATATGCTACATACCAAGTATTTTGCATATAATGTGTCATGAAACCTTTACACAGCTTTGTGAATTAATTAAATGAATTAAGTATTACTATCCTTATGCTACCGATAGGGAACTGCAAACAGGTTAGATAAATTCGCCAAGGTTACACAGTGGTTAACTACACGAGAGATACAAACATGGGTCAATTTGTCTCCAAAAAGCTGAGCATCTTCCACTCTAAAATTTTGCTTCCTAGTTTAGCATTGACTGCCAGATTTGAATCATAAGAAGGACCTGTGTCCAAAACCAAAAAGGAATTAGAGTACAGTCTTCCAAAGTGAGCATTTTGAAGTACACACCTTTTATTTATATGCATAAATTCTTCTGTGCTTTCTGTAAATGGCAGCCGTAACTCACCCTCTGCAAGATGCTTATAAAGTGATTTTACGTGAAATCATTCAGGGTATTCATTCAATGATACTGTAATGTTGCAGAAGACACAGTAGGCTCAAAGTTTAAACCTGAGGGATTGGAGAGAATTAACCCTGTTTTATAGATGCAATCAGAATTCATTTTAACAGGTCAAAAGCATGTGTGAATGCTCATAGATAGCTCTGCAATTTACAATTAGCTGTAAGTTTTATGAACCTTGAGAACAAATTCTTTCAATTTCTGTATTTTTTGTAAGAGGCAAGTAAATACTTAAAGCTAGGTGGGCAAACGGCCATTGGAGCAGAAGAATAATGCATCTGGCAGGTGTGAGCTTTGGCCTATTAAACTGTCCAGCTGCATTAAAAAGAAAAAAAAAAAAAACTAATGCTATCAGCATGCCATGAGTGCGAATTCCATTTTAATATCTCTTCCGAATTTGGTAGCAACAGTTTAAAGGCAGTAGTATAATTATTTTCCACCAAAACTTTAACCTGTTTCCATATTTTAAAAGGTACCTACTTCTTAATTCTGCAGACTGGTAAGAAGTCTTCTCTCATTAAAATAATACTAATTCTTAATTTCAACAAACAACAGTAGTTTTGGCTTTGAATTCAAATTTTGATATATGTTGGAAGAGTAAAGAAGGAGACATCAGGACCAGGAAAAAGTAAATTAAAAGCAAAAAAGGCAGAGTTTTCTTTAGAAGTTTCAAGGTTTTTCAATTCGTAAGTCTCTATGGCTGTCTATGCTCTTATGATATGGCCAAGTTAGACAGAGGCTTAGAAATAGCAGCGATAAAGCACACGGTGTTTGAATCTGAGGCATACACATCTATACTTTCAAATAAAATAAGTAATTTTCCAGAAACATTGTCTCTTCCAAATGGGTTACTTCCCTCAATATGTGCTTTTTATCTCTTTAACGTTATTTATCTTAAATTCACTGATGCAATAGGCCACAACCACGTAATCTCTCTTGAACGTTAAGAAATGACAGTAAACCAAAGAACTAACTGCAATATCCCATGATTTAACAGATTTGAGCATCAACATTCTGAGAGAACCAACAGTGAAGTTTTAATGTAGACAATTATATCTGCTATTTTTCATGGGCCAGTATCTACATCATGCAAACCTTCAGGAAACAAACAAACAAAACTGATTTATTCATCATGGGTGGTATAGAGGATATACTAAACCACTGTCCTCTTTAATAAGGAATTTGTCCTTTTTGTACAAAAGGAAAATGAACAAACTTGCTTTTGCTTTGCAATGAAATGATATTAGTGGTACTGAAGAAAACTGACGATTTACTACATATATTTTTCTTTTCATATCTACCATGAAAAATGCTTCCTAGTCTTTGATTTACAGTTAAAAATGTCATACAAAGTAATCTTTTTTAAAATTGTGAAGTTCAGTTGCATAAATTCCATGTATCCATTTTAATACCATCTCTTCCTGTTTCCTCTATCCCTACTCTACTCTCTTTCTGATGAATGGGATTTGGTTTCCTTGTTCCAAAGGTCCCCCAGGATTAGTGTCGATTCTTAATAATAAGCCTGGATGTTCATATTGTCTCCCTTTACCTTCTGCTACGACCTTTCATAGGCCATAGTGTTGAAGTTCAGTGTTGGTCCAAATCCTCCCATCTGTTCAACAGCAGTTCAAATGGGAAGAAAGCCCAGTAGGCAGATGTCTCCCATCCTTAGAACAATGAAGATATTTTATTGGCTATTTGATATGGTTTGTATCTGTGTCCTCACTCAAATCTCACGTTGAATTGCAATCTTTAATGTCGTAGGTAGGACCTGGTGGTTAGTGATTGGCTCATGATGGAAGATTTCTTGTGAATGGTTTAGTACCATCCTCTTGCTGATGTCTTTGCCATAATGAGTGAGTTGGTGAGATAAAATTGTTTAAAAGTGTGTGGCATCTTCCCCCTCTGTCTTCATCCTGCTCTGATCATGTGACATACCTGCTCCTCCTTCGCCTTCTGCCATGACTGTAAGATTCCTGAGGCTTCCCAGAAGGTGAGCAGATGCCAGCATCATGCTTCTTGTACAGCTTGTAGAATCGTAAGTGAATTAAACCTCTTTTCTTTATAAATGACCCAATCTCAAGTATTTATGGCAATGCAAAAATGGACTGATACAGTATTATTCCTCAATCTTAATATAGTTCTTTTTTACCTGATAATTACAAAGCACCAGAAATAAAATAACAAGTCATCTGAAGGACCTTGCTTTAACACTTTGATTCCCCAGTATTATTGTTGGCTTAGCTAAAAGTTTCAAGGGTCATATGAATGCTACACATGGTGGTAAGATTTAACAAAGATTTTTTTTTTCTTTTTTTAACAAGAGGATGTTATTGGAGCTTCCATTACACAAAGCAGGTGCCATGAAAAAGGTCTTGGCTTTGTAGTCAGTAAGCCCAAATTTTCCCTCTTTCCAAGGGTGTTATAATTTGGTTAATGATTTAATAGTATCAACATTTCTGCTAAGACTCTAACCAGAAGACTGATCTCATTCAGGTATGGAGCTCAAATTTATGTCTCTTCTCTGTTCAGTAAAAAGGTGAGAAATTAAAATTTTCCTAAATTGGTAGTACCTCCTTGCACCTGGTGAAGTAAAAACAAAATACCTTATTTTGAGGAAAGTGCTTTGATTTTTAATCTTTAGAGTTGTCGCAAATTAATTACAATCAATATGAACACACACATGTGCACACACACACACACAGCATAAAGAAACAAGCTACTGCAGGAAAACCTTAGAAAACAGCAAGTAACAGACTGGGACCCTTACAGACTTCAGATGTTGGCATTGTCACAGACAAAATGTTCAATAACTATTAACGAAGTGCCTGAAGGCATAAAAAGGTGGAAACAAAGAAGAGAACAGAGACAACAGATTATCTTTATTAATAGGCATGCTTTCAAAATAACAAAATATTATTTTTAGAAATGAAATATAAAATCAATAAGAAACGATTCATTGAATATGATTAGACACAAAGAGAGGACCAGCGAATGTGACGATAAAGCCAAATTAATTGCCCAGAATGCAACATGTTATATCAAAGAGTACAAATTATAAAAAGAGGATAAGAAATAGGATTATGGAATTAGCAAGCCTAAATTCATATAATTCAAATCTAAAAGATTTTAAGTAGATAGAATAGGAGGAAGTAAGAGTTGATACATTGAGAGTTTTTAAGAACTGATAACAGACACATATGAATGATAAATATGAATTGGATATATAGATACATATGAACTAATGAACAGGAAACATAAAAATATCAAGTAAGATAATTTTTAAAGAAATCCACAAGCAGACACCTGATGACAAAACTGCAAAACACCAAAGAAAAAGAGATGACTTTAAATCAACTTGTAGGTGGTAGGCATGGGAGTGGTCAGAGCACCTTTAAAAGCAAGACAGATGGACAGCTGACTTCTCAGGAGCAAGCAGGGAAGCCAGAAAACAAGAGGACACTGATGTGCCAGTGAGGCTTTGAAACTGGTTCTTCAGGAGGAAGACATAGGAAAAGCCTTGGCTTTGAGCATTTCTGACATCCACAGTGTAAACTCTCCTAAGACAGCTGATTTCAAGCTGCCATCCTGCCCCCAGTGAAGGTTGCAGAGGTGGCGAGAGACATGTATACCTGGCTCTTATGGGCGAGTGCCATTGGCTCCATCACACCTCTGACCCATTTCTCAACATCTGATAGAAAATATTCTTCAACATTTAATTGAAGATCTAACAAAATTATCTTCCAAGATTAAAGGTAAAATAAAAACCTTTTGTTCAGATATGTATATACATACATATATATATATATATATATATATATATATATATATAATGAAGAGACCCTTAAACAGAAAAGAATTCAAAAGAATTTACTTCAAAAGAAGAAAATAAAATCTGGCAGAAAATAGAAAAGTCTGGGATAAAGGAAGAAATGAGGAATATATAAACTGTGTCTGTATTAATAAATAAAAAAGCAGTATATAAAAATATAACGATGATTATTATTAGGAGGCGTAATGGGATCAGAAATAAATAACTCAATCTAGGATCAGTGTTGATCAGTGTTCTTCCAACTGCCATTTGAGAAACTAAAACGGACATTTTTTGACCCTACTGCAGCTAGGTTTCTGGATCAACACTACATCTGGAAATTATAAACCCTTTATGAAGCTGGAAGTCTGTAGCAGGAGTCATTTTTCTTCCTTTTCAGCTCTTTCTACTGGCAAGCAAAAGCAGGGGACCATGATGCCCCTCCACAGCCATTTTTCAGAGACCTCCTTCTTGACTTGTGAATTTGCATACAGTATGGGGCACAGGGAAGTCATTGCAAAAGACCTCAAGAACCTACACTGTAAGTGCTGCAACAATTTCGTCAGCAACTAACTTACTGTGTTAAATGTGTTTCTGCTTAAAATGCCTAGAGTTATTCATGTTTTCTGCACTGGACTGCGATAGAGAGAGTTAGAAAGAAAATGGTAGAATCACAGGAAAAGTTGGATACATAAAAAATAGGCTGGCAGAAACAAGTCTGAGTACAAGGAGACCCACAATGTAAAAGGACCTACATTTGCCTTTATGAAAAAACATGGAGGGACAGATTGTGTATATAAAATAAAATTTAGCAGTGTCCTTCACAAGATCATCTATAAAGCTTAAAAAAAAAGAACCATTGAAAGAAAAATGAATGGGCAACGAGGCCAGGCAAATACTAAGTTAAGTGAAGTTGTAACCGGCATATTAATAATAGGCAAAACAAATTTAAGCATAAAAAGACATTACTAAAGTTTAAAAAGATCATTAAGCGTGATAAAATGTTCACTTCATCAAGTAGATATAAAAATTTCAATCTTGCATGCATGTAATGAATACTCTCATCATATATAAAGTGAAATTCACAGAACTTCCAGTAGAAAAAAAGAAAATTCTCTATCATAGTAGGAAATTACAATGCCTTTAAAATTTTTGATCAATTATTGAGTTATTCAAATCCTTAATTTATGTACTCATACATTTAAGTTAAAATTCAATAAAATTTAAAAATATATTTTAAAATTAAGTAAATAAGTATTCTGCTTAATTACTTTAATATTTTACCTCTTGCAAATTGTTATAAAGTAGATAGAAATGCAGTGCCTATTTCTGCCATAGACACATTCTGACATTTTGTAAATAAGAAATCTTGGTTTCAGGCTGGGTGTGGTGGCTCATGCCTGCAATCCCAACACTTTTGGGAGGCTGAGGTGGGCAGATCACAAGGTCAGGAGATCAAGACTATTCTGGCTAACACGGTGAAACCCTATCTCTACTAAAAATACACACACACACACACAAAATATCTGGGC